TTGTCTGCCCAACCCTGTTAGCCTCCTCTGACACTCCTGCCGTTCCTGCAGCAGCTCTGTGGCTCCTTTCCAGGCTCCTGGTCTCCTTGCTTCTGCTATTGATAGGGGTTTCTGTTCCTTTGGCCTGTATCTAGCATTCCCAGGTAGACACAGTGTTTTCCTGCTGCTGTGTGCTTCTGTTCCTTGGGCAGGTGATAACCACCAAAGGCTCACTCTTCTGAAGGCCCTACAGGATGTTTGGTTTCTGAACTCATCACCTCCATCATGGTGCAGCACCATGCTGGGGTTCTGCCTCGCTGGCATAGCCTAGCTCTGGCTACTCTTGTCCCACAACATAGCCATCATGATTATCTCATGGCTCAGAAGTAGCTGTGACAGGCCCCATAAACCTCAGGGCTTGCTGTCAGTGACTTTGCTGTCTTGGTGATCCTCTCCATCTGTGCTTGGCAAGACAAGTATCTCTGTATGCATATTTCTGATTCAAAAACTTGTGGGGCAGCTCTCTTGTATTAATCACTGTGTGAGCCTAGGAGTGAAAGCCAAAGCGTTTTGTACCACAACAGATCCAGTTTTCGCTGGTCCCTGAGGAGGGCTGATGTCATGCCCTGCTAACAAGCTCAGCCCCAAGAAGGAAACTGCAGTAAGCTGCCCAGCAGCATGGATGTGTTCCATGGGCCAAACAGGGCTTCTGCAGTCCTGGCTGCTGCTCTGGGTACTTTTTACAAGCAGATTTTGTTCCTTATTCAGCAGGGTTTGTTGCAGGATTGCTTCGGAGTTGTCCTAGGGAATGTACCCAAACACTGCAGACTCAGATGTTGGAGGAGAGCTGCTCTGTGCACCTCGCCAGTTCCTTAGGAGGCTCCCACAGTGATGGTGGCAGTTCTGCTCCACCCAAGAATTCATGAATTCATCTTCAGGAACTCTTCCCCTAAACAGATGCCATCACATGAGGATAGGAAACAGGTGGAAGAAGTGAAATCCAGCCTCAGCAGGCTAACCTGTTAATTTATCACTGATGACTTTGCACTATTTAATTGTTCTGATTAATTCTGATTCTAACTTCCTCTACCTCCTAATTTTTCACCAGTCTTTTCTTTCACACCAAAGGTTTGTAGCCTGGCACAGATCACCTGGAAACAAACACAAGCATGATCATTCTTCAGGTACTTAGCCAGGCCCTCACTCACAGTTCCCGCCGTGCCAGTCCCTGGCTGCTGGCATGGGACTTACCAGTGACTCCCTTGTGTCTCCCTACCCATTTCTTCTGAAGAGCAAGAGAAAACTTGGGGGTTAATCCTGTTTGCAGGGCACAGTGTGTGTGCCACGATGACGCCCGAGACCCCTGCAGTGACCTCTGCACATCTCCTGCAGAGCCACAGGGTTGCTGGGACTGCAGTGCTCCTGCTGCAGAGGACATCTGGCTGCCTGGACCCTGCTGCTCGGGCTGCTTTCACTGTGGATTTGCAAGTCCAGTGTGACCCATGTGCTGCTGGGATCTTTTTCCCTGGTCAGGCTCTCCTGCCTGGATGGTCCTTCTCAGGTCACTCCCTGCTGGCACCAGTCCTGGGCTATGGCAGCGGTGTGGTGGGCTCAGGGTCTCGTGCAGTGCATTGTGAGTGTGCAGCAGGGCTGATTTTCCCTGTTCACTTTAGAAGTTGTTATTTGCCGCTGTTTGCAGTCTCAGCTCCAAAAAGCAGAGTTAAAAGGAATTACCTTGTAAAGGAAAATAGAGAACATTTTCTATTTCAGTAATCCCTTTTCAGGTATTTCTTGCTGCTATAAAAGTTGTGTCTCATTGGGACCTGCTGCTATTAACAGCCTCTAAGGTGTTTTCCAGAGCACTCTCCATAACTGCTGTCAGCTCTGGTGATGGGTCTCCAGGAAAGGGCTCCTCAACTGGGCACCACTGAGCTCAGGCTCTCATTCTCTGCATCATCTTTCTGCCACTCCAGCACTCCCCACTGCTTTCCCCTACACCCTGCAATGTCTCCGTGTGGGTCAGCAGATGCAGGAAAGATGAGCTGGTCCTGATGGAAATGCAAAGGAATGGCGTTATAAGCTGCCAAAGTTGATCTTGATGAGTTTCCATGGGCTGTTACAGTCAGATAACCAAGATGTTGCCACCCAGGAGCATGGAGTCTGTCTGCTGGCAGTGGTGTCTGTCTTTATTAACTTTTCTCATTCACTCCTGGAGTCCAGCAGTGCTTATCTGCTCTGCAAATTTAATGTAGGATGAAATAAAGAGCAGCTGAAAGCACAGTAGTTCTTTGGGAATAACCACAGAGGTTAAATCAAGTAGGAGGAAGGCCAAGATTTGTCCCACCATTTTTTGGTACCTAGAGTAGGTATAGAGAGGCTGCATCCCAGAGGGTCCCTGACCTGTCCCATGTCACCCTCTAGGAGTGCTTCTCCCTCCTCTTGACTAAGAAAGGGCATTTAATGTCTTAAATGTGGTGTCAATAGTCATTTAGTGATGTATTTTGGGGTGACCCAGTCATGACTTAATGCATTATCTGAAAAGACACTGTGAGCAGTTGACAGCAGATTGCTGCACATCTTCTGCCATGCAGGAATTGCACAGGGTATCTTGCTGTAGCTAAGAATAGCAATAATACCCATCTGAACCCAAATGGATACTTAGGATTCAATATCCCAATTGAGGCTTCATTAAAGGCCTCTGTAAGTCTTTGATTCTTTTCCAAAAGGGAAACTCTTTTAAATGACTAACTTGCAAGAGTTACAGTTGCACCTGTAATGAGTGTTTGGCATCCGTCTCTGCTACCTTTGGTACAGAAGTTTTCCAAAATATCTATGATTCATTCAAAAGGGTATCCTGCTCTTCCCAGGCACAATTCTCTTCGCTGAATCTATTTTTCTAGTTTGTGTTTTGCCCCTTATTTTTGAACTTTTTGATTAATATCTGCTTTAGAAAGAATATTTAAAAATCAACTTCACTTGTAAGCTGAGAGCTGTAAGGATTGAAAGCTGCCTCCTTATGGCCTCCTTGCCAATTTGCACTCTGCTATACACAGACGATGGTACAGTAAAATTGAGGAAAGCAATGCTATACCTCCTGTGAAAGGATTTTTTCTCTTTGGGTGCTGTCATTTATATGGCATAGGCTGGTGAGTGTGTGCCCATAAAGTTAATATTATTTTATTCAATTTATGGTCTCCACATGTGCCTGATTATGTGTCTGGAGGGTTTGGGTTGAACAGACTTCATGTGTTCCACTACTGAATACACCTCGGTTTCTTTTGATCTCTTTTTATGTTGCTGAGTTTCAACTTTTATATAGCAGAGCTGCTCTTAATCAGAGTCTGACTCTGCTCATTGCTACACAAGGAGAGATGAGTGGTGCTGCTGGCCCTGGGGACACGCAGGCTGGCACAGTGCAGAGGAACCTCCATGCAGCAATTTTGAAGGAGAGACCTCCAAATGCAAATGCAGGTTTGATTAAATCAGGGTTCAGGAATAGCCTGGTGGTCTGGCTCCTTTGACTCCTTAAGGATGGATAAACCCCTGTAGATTTGCTGGCATCTCCAATAATTAAATTCTTGGTGAAGGAAAATTAATTTCTTCTTGTTTCCTCTACAGGAGATGTTTTCTTAGTGCTACTTTCTATCAAGATGAAACTGCTAGGGGAGAAACAGCAGTTGTTGCTCAGGTATCTGTTCCCATGTGCCACTGCGTTACGAGAACTTAATTCCCAGGACCCAGCTTTGTGAGCCTGGGTTGCAGGATTTTAAGTTTGTTGCTGAGGAGAGTCAGGTAGTGTTGATAAAGCAACATGGAATGGGAATATTCAATGTAAGTAAGGACCAGTATAAGCCATGACTTACATATTTTCCTCATTAGAGAAAGCTCTGTTTCCTTCCTTTGCGTATGGTTTTCCAGCAGACTGCATGTCTCTGGCTATAGATGGGAAAGCAATGGTGAAATGCAAATGCTACAGGACTGATTTAATAACTGTTACACTGCAGGAAAGCAGAAAGAGACAGAGCTGAGGAAAACCTGCCATCAGAATTCCCAGCAAACTTCCAAGACTTGGAAGATACGTATGGACACCCAGTTTCTGAGACATGTGGCACAGCTGAATTTCCAAACCTCTTGAGATGCCTCCTCCTTGCTATTATCCTCCCTTTGATTCCCTTTGGAAATGCATAACTCTATCACAGACTCGGCCATGACTGAGTATTAGTTGCTGTTGTTGGAAGCATGGGAGGGCGTTCAGATCTTCAGGGGTGGCTCCCCAAAGTGTCCCTGTAGGGGCATCCTCAAGCCCACTGAGGAGCTGGTGTTTGCAGTACCAAATCACAGCTTACTCCTGAAGAAGCCTCTGCTGGAAGGAGCTGAGTTGGGAGCCTCTGACACCCAGAGGCTGGGCAGGAGTCATCCTGACAGTAGGTTTTGTGCAGACTCCAGCCTGGGCTGCCAGCAGTGCAGTGCTGAGGACAGGACTGGCTCTCTATCCAGAGCCAAACCACAGCCAGGGCTTTGTCAGGAGCCTCTATGTTGCTCCATGGACAAATCAGTGCTCAAAGCTAAAAGGGAATCTTTAACTGCAATTTAAACTCTTTGCACAATGTCTGATGTTATTTGAGGTAGATATGTATAACTGCTGCCTGGTGTTATGTTTTTGCTGGAGCGGTTTTCCAGTCCACAGTTTTATATTACATCTCTCATGCTCTTTCTGAGGACCACAATCCCTGGGAGACATAAAGTATAAATTTTATTTATTCATTCATTTATTTATTTAACTGAATTAACTTGTTATCCTGTAAACACTGCAAGTGGAAAGCCCTCGTGGCCTGCCACGAGTGCTGGTGATAGATGCGCAAAAGAAAGCAGTGAATGAAGCGGTCTACCTAATCATTTTCTAACACTGTTGCACATAAAACATCTTTATTGTTTCCATGGCAGATGCTTTCCACTCATGATGAATTGATGATGTCGAGTTGATTTACATTCTCTACCTCTTCTGTTCCTCCTCTTCACAGGCCAGATGATGTGATGCTGAAGCGCACTCATGATGAGACTGTCCTCTTGCACTGCTTCCTCTGGCCCCTGGTTACGTTCCTGGTTGGAGTCCTCATAGTGGTCCTCACCATCTGTGCCAAGAGCTTGGCTGTCAGGGCAGAGGCAATAAAAAAGAAGAAGCACTTGTAAGTGGCAAGGCTGCTGATGGAGAAGAAAAACCTTCAAGAGGGTCTCAAGTGAGGCAGCTTGACACATATGCAGGTCTCTGCAGGGGCACCCAGCTGCGCCTCCTTCCAGTGTCTCATCTGACAGTGGAGTTGCTCTTGCCTCAGGATTATCCTTGGAAGGCTGCCCCATGAAACGTCAGCTAATTGCTTCTCCTGCTATGGCAGTAAATAAATATGTTCTACCAAAAAAACATCTACACTGTACCAAATACGCTGTGCACTGTTAGCCCTGAACAACAGCTACCCAGCTCCTAGCGGTATTGAGAGACAGTTTATAAAAGCCCTTGATGATGCTCATTTCATCTCTACAAAGTGATCTTTACTATTGTTTAATAGTAAATAATTAAACATATTTTATGATAGACTGATAGACTGTATTTCCAAAATAATAAAGTTTGGTTGTTTGGGTTTTTTTTAATCTTAGTTTTGTTTTGTTTGAAAAAGCTTTAAGACTAAAATAACCTTGTGCTGATTTTGTTGTTTTTTTTTTCACTGTGTAGAACTTCCATTTAAAATTCAGACTTTAACTTCTGTCTAAAAAAAACTTTCATTATCGCCTTTTCACTGTGAAGATATGTAGAAATCTCTCAGAAATACTACTTATAAAATTAAACAAGTGCTGGAAATGGTCATTAAATAGTAGATCTAATTTTACTGCCTCAGTGGTATTCAGTCCCTGCAGTTTTAATTTGACCCTCTCAGTTACCCTGTTCACCCAAATGCTCTCAGGCTGTAAGGAGCAGGGATTTGGGGGAGTTTTACAAGAATAGGTTTTACCATTGACTTATGTGAATAATGGAGTGCCTAAGTGCCTGCTGAGGGGAACCTGTGAGCTGTGGTGTGATGTATGTCACCAGACACCAGGGATGGCTGCAGGGAGGGCTGGAGAAGGACATCAACTCTTTGTAGGGCTGTGGGTGTTTGCTGCTGAGCTGCCCATGCCAAGGACACCTATTTCGTGCAGGGTCATTCCAAGGGGATGCTCCAGAAAATGCAAGGCTGGGCATGGAATCTTGCTGGGTGGCCTTTCCCTGCTTCTCCCAGCTCCTCACTGTGTATTATGGGTGTACCAGTCCTAGTCCACTCGCTCAGTGCAAAGATTTCTGTATTCTGACAGTTTCCCTGAGCACATCCATTGCATGACACAGTCAGTGGCTGAGACTAGAGTATCTTTGTGGCACTTGTCCTCACCCCTGCTGGGCTGGACACCCCTGAGACCAGGCTTTGCAGTGTTCGTGTGCACCAGAGAAGAAAAGCCATGTGGCTCAGTCAGGAAAATGAGTCTGTCAGCATCTGGTTACTGGCAAAGCATTTTAATCTACGTCAACAGTTCCACAGTTCTAACCACACTGTTCATGGTATTAATCTGTGATATTCTTAGTGTTATGTTTAAATACTTTGTGTTTTGTTGAGCTTTTAACACATAGGAAATGTATTTCCTTAGAATGAGGAAAGTACTAGATTTGAAAACCTGCAACCCTGTGTGCCAAACAAGGCACAAGGCACAGCGACAAACATGCTTGTATTGCCTAATGTTCATCTCAGATTAATCATATTGTGTGTTTAGGAATTGATTTCCATAAGGCTTCTTAATTTGTAACCTTGTACATGTTGTGGCATTGTGGTGCTCTGTGATGAGTACAGCAGGGCGATTGGAGGTTGCTCCCCTCTTCCCTGCTTACTCGCTATATGACTTTTGTAGAGTTCTCTGGTCACAGTCCACACTGGGATAGCTGTTCCTTTGAAGGAAGTTAAGGAAATCTGTTCGTGGAGGCAGGAACTTGATGCTTCTTGGCTAATTACTCTGTAGGAAAGATCTGACTGGTGTTGGTTGCACATGTTCAGGCACGTCCAGTTCTGTGGATTAAAAATGCATGAAAAATGTTAGATTCTCTGCATTAAACACCACCCCTTTGGAGGTGCCTGTTGTTAGGGTCATACAGGTACTCTACACCCCAGCCTGCTGAAAGGAATAGCACTGGATATACTGGATGAAGAGAGGTTGTGAGCTCTCAGCATCTTGGATGAAAGCCTGCCAACTTCTGGAAGTGCTGTCCTGCAAAGAATACGGTGTTTTGTTTCACTTTGCTTGCATCTTCTGTGATTCTTTTTCACCCTCTGCAGTTCTCTTGCCTTCGCAACCCACAGAAATACTGCACATGTGTGTCTGGCTGGGGGTGGGTGTGTGTGTGTGTGTGTTAATTACAGTATATTTTAATACATATTACTTTTTCACACACTGCAAATCACTGAAAGCTGCCACTGTGGGGTGGTTTGATTATCTGGTTAAGGTGGTGGCAAGTTCTCCTCCTCTATTTCCTCTTGATAACTTCTTACAGATAAAGGGAATAACCCTGATTTTCTACACATATATATACTTTGTTTTCCCCAGGGAGAAGGAAATACATGGTGACATATATTCGCTATCGATTTTTAAACCAGTAGCTTGGGCCCACAAATCCGGATTAACCAAATCCCCTCTGGCTTTGCTCCAGAAGCTTTTGTGACTGAATTGGTCATCTGGTTCTCAGAGCAAAAGACAAGAAGTGAATTGAGTTGCTACAGCTCACTTGATCAGCAATCATATCTTTAAATCAATTAGAAATGCCATTTGCAAAGGCCTCTGGAAGTAAGTAATTGTTACAAACATGATAAGGAATGATTTTGCAGAGAGATGAACATCCCAAGTTAAACACCCGTACTGGCACGCAAAGGGAAGGAGGAAGTGTCTCCCTGGTATGTGATGCTAAGGGGAAATAAAAGAAACATCCTGAAATTCTCTCTTCTGTCCCAGCCTGCACCTCATTGGTTTAGAAATGTCTTTCTAATCCGCACACTTGATCGTGGAAGCTGGGGAGTTCCTTCTAGTGGGTTATTCACTGATTTCCCCCTTGGCTTTGTGGATTTCCAGTTTTTGTGTTTTCCTCTGAAGCATGTTTGCAGCCAGAGCAGCTGCTCTTTGCAGAGCCATGTGCAGAATCAGCTTGTGCAGTTTATTCAATATATGCCATTGCTTCGAGGAATTTTGTTCTGCCTTTCTGTCTGCAGCTCCTCCTCAGTAAGACCTGCCTTTCCTTTCATGTTGTGCAATTAAATCAATTTGTTTTTACAGCATCTCTCTCTGTTAGCTTCTTAGGCTCTTGTTAAAAATTGAAGTGATAAGAGTGTTTTTTGTTTACGCTTTTCCTGCTTTGTGTGTTTCTGTATTGCCAGTAGCACCCACCATCTATTAGAAATACATTTCACAATGTATTAAAAATCTACTGAACAAGGAGCTGAATTAAATACTTGGAGCCTAAGAGGGATGTCGTGGGGGTATCCAGGGGTATATTTAAAGATCATTACCTGGCATATCTGCTACACACATAGCCCATTGTCAGTGCTCTGGCACAAACCTGCTGGATTTGAATGGATATCATGATCTGCAGGTGAAGCCACAAGATGCAAGCCAGGAAGAGCGATGCAAAGGTAAGTGCAGATCTCAGCTTCCAGACTCGCACTTCCATGTGTGTTTTGAGGGATTTGTCCTAGATCAAGGCAAAGATGTCTGTGAGGTGTGAGGGTACAGAGCTCCCCATACACCTGCTGCCTTGGCTTAGGCAGTTCCTGCTTACCCCAGTCCCAGGGTTTCCCTGGCTGCTCTTTGCCTCTGGGAGCCCTCTGCTCCCAAGCCAGGGCTTCCATGTCATTCCCACAGGAGCAGGGATGTCTGTAGACAGCCATCAAGCGTCTCAGCTCATTTCACCCACTACATGAAAGGATCTGTTGAGCGTGTGTTATCTCATCACAGTCCAGCTGGGAAATGTGAAAAGGGAACACTGGTTAATGTTTAAAACCCTTTCACAGATAAGGTCTAGAGACTAAGTAACCTTGAGGAAGTGCCTAATGCAGTTTTCTAGGGGTTTAGGCCTTACTTGAAAAATGAAAACTATTTTAAATTGTGTGTTCAACACCTGTGTGGTCTGGTACGATGCTTGGACAGTGTGGATTGCCTGTTAATGGAAGGATGGTGCTGTGCAAGTACCTGTGCTCAGCACTGCAAATATGGGAGCTGCCTGATGAATCTGTGTTTCTGCAAACTTTAGCCTAAATGGCCAAAAGTATCCTAAACCCAAAGGTAAATGCATGGAAGAGGAGACACCTGGGAGAGTGTCTTAATATCAAGAGAAAAAACTCAGGCCATGGCTTATATTTAGGTAATCAGATGAAAGGAATCACAGAAGAATTCGTAACTATGAGGCCTATTGTATCATGTGCATATTTTCTTGCAATCCCTGACAGAAATCCAATAGCTGGAGTTATCGAAAAATCAGCTTACTCCTGTGTGTGATTTCTCTGAGAATCAAAAGCTGCTTTTCTTCTTTTTCCTTCCCCCTCCCCCGCATGGAGCAGCTGCTATTACTCCATTAACTCTCAATCAGAAACCAACCCTTTCCCTTTTAGGCAACTTAAGAAGTTGCTGCACTGATCTGTCAAGCTAACAATCTTTGCTGCAGAAAGCACGAGCGGGAAAACCTCCGAGGGAATATGTGTGCAATTAATCATACTGCTTTGTCAGGTCACAGGCCCACTGAATGAATCAACCCCCAAAGTCTGATATTTGAGAAGCTCTGCATTTTTCTTTCTGGTTTGGTATGCTACACTAAAGCTGCCATTATTTGCACTGTGTTTAATTCACATCTCTTTGGTGGTCCAATGGTCTTAAGTCTCCTAAACCAAGAAATCACTTTGCGTGCATGGCTGGAGAGGCAATAAGAAGAAAAAGACTAGCCCCTGACACTATATAGCTGTAACCTGGGTGTAAAGTTTTATTATAAAACATGTTGGCATAGCTGTAGGATTATGTACACACCTACAATACACAAACAATTCCCAAACAGCACATAGAGCAATCAACCTGAACTAACTCATCCAGAAATGCAGTAAAACTCGCTTAAATCACCTTTGATACAGCATTCAAGAAATAAAATCAATCTGCCTGTCAGTTAATTTAATGAGATAATGGAGTGTCAAACATTACCTTACGTAACATAACCTTTTCATAACTTTTTAGCTAACATAAGGTTTATCTCTTTATTTGCATGCCAATTGCCATTCACTATAAGCATTTGGAAAAAATCAACCATTAAGCTCTTCCACATAGTTGCTTGTTCAGCAACTGACAGCAACTGATGGTGTCTGGACAAAATACTTCAACTGTTTGGACCCCACACAGCACGACCAATTCCAAAAGAGATGCAAGCTGCTAACATTTTGTTTCAAAAGCCCCAAAAGCAGACTTTTATGCCATTTCTGTTCCTTCACTGTGGGATTAGGACAAAGCCAGACTTCAGATAAGGAGCAATTTCTGATCATCAGAGCACATGTACTAATACTGAAGTCTGTATCTTTTCAGTATACACACATGGCTGCATTTCAGTACAATGCAAGAATGGATGTGCCACCCCTGGAGACATTCAAAGCCAGGCTGGATGTGGTTCTGAGCAACCTGATCTAGTCGAAGGTGCTCGTTGCAGGGCGGTTGGACTAGATGACCTTTGAAGTTCCCTTCCAACCCAAACCATTCTGTGATTCTATAATGC